CAATATCTTGGCTGTATATTTGGACAGTGTTGAGCAGCGATTTCATTTCAGTTAGTGTTCTTACATACAGCAGCAGCATTATTATTATCCGCCCCATTGCTATTCATACCCACTACAAAAACTTCAAACAGCCATCTTCATTCCTGATTTCTGACTGTGAATTCCAGAATGTCCACCAGCAGATGTTCTAGGTTTCCACAGTCAGAATGTGGAGATAATTTATGTAGTGGACCAGGCAGCCAGCCAATAAAAATAAATTCAATATATGGAAAGAATCAGGTGATTTTAAGAGTGGTTTTTAAATGTTTGCATGTAATGTGTATGTGTGTGTTAATATGGACAGTACACTTACATGTATACATACCATCCATTGATTGTCAGTATTTCCTTTGATTTACTCACATATGACTCCTGTTCTATGAAAACTAAATGTAGTCCTCAGTTTGGAAAAAGTTGTGCATCCCCAGTTTAGTTTATTGTCTGAAGAAGGAACTTAGATTTTTTTCATTTTGGAACACCCCAGATAAAATAAATAAATTGGGACTTTCTGTGGCACATTCTGAAAGAAACTATCCAGTGTCCCTGGTTTGGTGGCATTGTAAACAGGCAGAGATGGAGCATCTTTAATTTGTTAGGCAAACCCACTTGCTGGAGAAAAACAAACACAGCATGTGGCAGCACTTTGCTGGTTGATCATTAAGCCGTGACTTGCCTTGTATTATGCAGCTGGCTCAATAAATTATTCAATTACTTCAAAAGAGCCCTTAGGCTAAGCAGTAGTGACTTACTAGCAGGAGAGAGGAAGAAGCATCCACCCACATTAATACTACTTAGATCTTAGGTTCCTGTCAAATATAAAAATATCTGAGATTTAAAAATATTTACCCCCAGTATTAAAGAAATAGCTGAACAGTAATGAAAACTGTCATGCAGTAATGTTTTATTTCATCCCTCTCTGACCAAGCAATTTATAATTACTGAAGCATTTCTGAGACAGTAACCTTATGGGCACTTGTTTTAGAGTAACTCTTAGTCAGATTTACTACTGATAAAAAGATAGAGAATGGGCAACATACCAAAACTTATTGTAGGAGAAAAAAACAGTTGATGAAATTTTCCCTTTAATGTAATTGAGACTGCAATTTTAATCTTATTAGAAGGCAAAACCATTGAACTTAGTGAGATTTACATCTGAATTAATGTGCAAAGGTTTGTATTTTTAACTATTCATTGCAGAATAATGTTTTAATACAAATGGGTTTTAAATGGCAAAAACTCTTTTCAACCTTTACCATAATATAGGATTAAAATACAGTAGAACAATATGGCTTGGAAGATCTGGTTACTCTGCTCAAACTGGCTCTTTTAGTAGTCATCTGAATGTACAACTGTTCTGTACCTGTGGGGTGCCCATTTGGAATATTTCAAAGTTCAATTTTTGGCTGAGGCCTTGCCCAGGCTACTTGCCATGCCCTTTGTAAGGCATAGATCCACCATTTTTTTCTTAGTTCTGATGAAAAATAGTGGAAAAAGAGAAATAAAGGAAAATCGTTTCCAAGATAAAAGCAAGAAAATAACTTATCCAAAAATCCAACTAATATACCAGAGAAGGGGGAAAAACATTGTCTTGTCTTCTGAGCTCTTTGGTACTAACTTGAGCACTGATGTGTGTCCATACTGCAACTGTATGTACTATATTACTCATAATTCCACTTCCATTGGCACTTCTATCTATTCTGATTCCATGGATTTCTAATCAATATCTGAGCCTCAGTTCTGCATCACAGAATAAAATCAGAAACTGTTTTTCATCTAGAGATTAAAGAACCTAAAATACTTGGTCCTCTAATATTCCCCAAACCATCTTTTTTATTCATAATACTATGATGAGGCACAGTAAAGAAATGCTA